CACAAACATCATGTCACAACACAATTAAAAAAAATTATATAATTAAGGGATAAAATAAAATAATTTTTTTATCAAATTTATAACGAATATTAATAATTAACACTATATAAAATAAGTAATACTATTTAGATCTAAGAATTTGACATAATTTATTGATCTAATGATGTGTCTTTATTGTAACTATTAGATTAACATCAAGTCTCAATGTGTTGATAGGACCACAATCAATCTAAAAATTATAATGAATTAAATTAATAAATTAGATTTCAATAGTATTATTCGTGTAAAATTAATCACATAGTTGCAAAATACATTGTAAAAAAAATAATTGTTGAGTGGAAAAAGATCATATTTGAGGAATAAAAGTGTAATTTGTCCGAAAAAATTTTTAACAATGTTAACCAAGGAGTAAATATTTGGTCACATGTCAACTTCATCACGTGTTATTATTGTCTAAAAATAAATAAATAATTGAGCAAGTAACCCCTATTTTTTGAATATATGATGATTAATATTTTAGAGCAACTCCAACGGTAGGTGCCATTAGGTATGGCAAATCCCTAACTGTCAAAATACTACCCCAAAATAAAAAAATTTTACTCAAAGAGAGTAGCATCAAGGGTTACAAAATAACACTTCATGGACTTGGGGGTGACAAATTTGTAAAATATGGAGAGAAAAAGTGGAGGTTCCAAAAAAACGATTAAAAATACAAAGAGAAGGAATGGAGAAGGGGGTTTGCCTAAAAATCGTTGGTGTCTACTGCTTACATGGAAATCGCATGCCTGAAAATGGAATTGCAGGGGAAGGGGAAAGGGGTAGAGTCTGAATCACAGGGAAAGGGAAAGGGAAAGGGAAAGGGCAAGGGCAAGGGCAAGGGCAAGGGCAAGGGTTTGTTGTTTGCTTTGATCGTTCCAGGCTACTATTTATTTTAGGACAAATGATACTTTGTATCCCAATTTTTTTTCATATTACACCATTGTATTGTCACATTACACTATTAAATTTTTTTCTATTATCATATTACATATTAATTTTTTTGTATTGTCATATTACACTATGATTTTTTTTGTATTGCTATTATTTATGAAAAACTATGTATCGAAAATATAACTTGAAATTGAAATTGAAATTGAAAATGCAACTTGAAATTGACATTGGAATTGAGAATACTAAAAATATTAAAATAGCATCCCATTTTGGCACCTACCATTGGAGCAGATTTAAAAATCAGGGATACCAAAACATTGTTTAAGGTTGTAAAATGACATTTGACACCCCAAAAATAGTAACTCCCCTTAGAGTTGCTCTTACTTTAAGGGTTCGTTTGGTAGACGTATTTTGAGGGGATTAAATATTAGATTGTATTATTTTTTATTTAATTAAGCCTAATACTTTATTTTTGTAAACAAAGTTGATATCGTATTAGTTTCAAAAACGTATTATTCGTATATTTTATGTACGATAGACATATATTATGGAGACATTTTAATACCATCAAGAGAGATAATATTTTAATACAACTCAAACGTATTATTATATACATTTACTATTATAACCCCCGACTGATAAAATCAAATTGTCATCAATGTAACAAACATTGATCGAGATTATTTTTATTAATTCAACATTAATATTATAAAATAATTTTTTAATCAAACAACTGATTGGATTAAATAACTACTCTCCAACGTTTATGTTGTGTATTACCAAACATTAGATAAAATTACGTATTATTCTAATACCTCATTTAATATTGTCTTTTATTTTTTTGTATTGTATTGGATTGAATTATTTTATCTAATCCATCAATTTTTAATACGACAGTCAAACGAACCCTAAGTGGTTATTTGAAAAAATGAGGTCCATTTTATCTAATAGTTAAGTTATGCACCACGTAACAATGTTAACGTGATATAACTTTTGCATCCAATATTTATAATATAAAATACAACAAATTTCAATAAGTTCATTTGATGGTTTCAAATAAACTCATCTAACGACCACCAACATCTTTTTCACAACCATTAATATTGCATCATGTCTTCAGACACTGTTAGACCTAATTACTCTATATATAGCAAATATTCTTACCAAATTTCCGAATTATAAAATGGCACAAAAGGCAAAAAGGAAAAAAAATTCCATGGCACAATTTTCGCCACAAGTAGATGTAGATTTCATTTTGAGCAAAATTGAGAGAAATGTATTAGAAATAATTTAAATCCGAACTTTAGTGTCCCAAACCTATAAAACATCAAAACCTAAAACGTTTTTGGAAAGTACACTTAAAATTTAACGCTGTCCATATAGGGGTTTTGCTGCGTCAGACAATAACATGAAGCCACCATATTGCGTTGTCATCAATTGAGTAACTTACCTAAGAAGAACAGCCTCTGTAGACTGCAGTCTGTTACCGTTGAGAAATGTTGCATCCATAAGGCGGCTACTACCTGCTTTTCCGGGGTTAGAGAGTTGTAATCTGTTGAAGATACATGGCAACCATGTCGTCCACATTTTGTAAATGGCGAAAACAATTTAACATTTCTTTCTCGCGCCACAATGCTTAACCTCATCAGATCAACAAAAAAAGAGCCGAAAAAACGCTACCAGACATCCAAGATGTAGCAGAAGAGATTTATCGAGTGAGATCAGATGCAACTACACAACAATCCGAGACAAGCATAATCAAAATAAATTCCCACTTTCAATCGCCTAACTACAAATTGCACATAATTTATGAGCAATCCTTCGTATCAAATCCAAACTTGAAGAAAAGCCATACAAAAGTAGATAAAATACAAGAACATACACAGGTTCATGCAAGCCATTGTATTAGAGAAATCTCTTCCTCTGAATGGCACCTGGCACAGGGGAAGCCACCACAGTTTGTGTTTATTCTTACTAAGCATTCAGCTAAAGCTGAACCGGAGTAGATTGAACACCCCTCATTTGGTCCACCACATCAGGAAATCCTTACGCCTGTTGATCTTCTTCTGTAGCTGAAGCAGTCCATAAAGTAGGGCCTCAGCGGTGGGTGGGCAACCCGGAACATAAATGTCAACAGGGACAATCCTATCACAGCCACGAACAACAGAATACGAGTAATGGTAATATCCTCCACCATTTGCACAGCTTCCCATAGAGATGACCCACCTGGGCTCGGGCATTTGATCGTAGACCCTACAAGAAAATTTCAAGTTGTATCATCCCACAATATGAGCGGACCATAGTTTTCATGTCTGTTTTACTCTAACCGACAACAGCACATTCCAACAGAAATACATAACAACATGAAATTACAGAAAGACCCATCTAGAATATTATAAGTAAGAGAACATTTCATGAGCTCAGGCAGTTGCCCAAAAAAAAAGAGACTCATTTTTAGGTTTCTTTAATGCTTTCCAGCAGCTATACATCCGAATAAGCTATCAGATCATGAATTCTCTGATTTAGGAGACAAAAGGTCGTATTAAAGTAACTGTAAGCCCACATAACCAAGAGACTCCACTAATCATTGCCAGTCCAAATTTTGCGTAACTGTTGGGACATAGTGGGGTGCCGCCCATTTAAACAGACGGCCCATAATAATGTTTAACACGATAGCATCCATTGATAACTCTGCTTGACATTAACAATCTGTGTACAAGTATCAAGTGTAGCTGAGTAGGACCATGCATAAGCAAGTAAACCTTGCTTGAATTCCTTTTTCACAATCTGCTTTTGGCATCCAAAATGATAGAGAAAGTGAGAGTTCACAAAATCAACCCAACTTTCTGACATGGCCTACTTCATATTTGTCGGTCAGAAACTAAGGGATTCAGGATTTCAACATCTGCCAAATTTCTCCTACGCTATTTATGCTATAAACATCTCCTAATGCTAGACCCCAACTATATGCAATTATCAATGGCTCAACTTGAAAGCTTCAGTCAAGTGAATGAAAAAATGTATAATCCTTACTGGCCTTGTGCTGTGGATGCAGTAAACCCCTTCTTGGCTTTGTAATGTGGATGTATCCCATAGCAGCAAAATCAAACATTCAATTGCTTTCTCCTTTCAATTTACTTATCCTTATTTTACCCATACAAATTTATTTGTGACCACCGGTTTCCTTGAATTTCTCCACCAACAATTTTTGAGCCACAAGTATCAAAAAGAGAAGTCACGTGTCCGTGAGCTGCGCTGTGTCTCTACATCCATGCCTAACTTGGGGGGGGAGAGAGAGAGAGAGAGAGGGGGGGAACAATAATGGAATAGTGCGGTCAACATGTATGTTTTGAACCATTTCTCTTCACATGGTTCCTAGAAATTTGAAAATCTTTCGCGAATCCTATCCTCCCTATGCCTTACTGCACATCCATGGTGACGTAAGCTGGGATTGGTAGGGCATTAGGTGAGGAGAAGAGAAGAAGAATAAGGAGAAGAGACGAGAAAAGAAGGAGATTAGGGCAATTTCAAATATGAATATTATTCTTGTTTCAATGTGTAGGACTTATTTTTTAATTGAGATACTTTTGAGCCTCAAGTGTTGCTGAAAGGTGTTCCTACAGGTAGAGTCACTCCCCCATTGGCATCATCTCTAGTTCCAGTTCTTCCTCCATTTCTGCTGCACATTCTTGAACATATAGCAATGTTCTCAAGGGTCATATTATCAGTTCATCAAACAGAGAGTGTTGCTGTTATTTTGTTTGGTGAAGAGACATCGCTGTTAAAGATGCTTCTTGGATAACCAAGGAGTAGTTCTGCCCTTTTGATCCAAATACTTCAGAGCACTATCACAACTGCATCTCTCTGGACATGAATTTTTCTCATCTGGGAAGGAATGATGTGAACTGGATCATATTTTGTTGCAGTAGACATAGACATAAGGATATTTGTCGTTTAAACTTTCGGGGACTTATTTTCCATTTGGATTATTTATATACTTTAGGTTTTTCATACCACCGATATATTAAGGAACAAGGTACTTGTTTTGGGAGCTTTGATTGTTGATTTATTTAGACTATTATTCTTGCCCTAATCTCCTTTTCTCTTCCCCTCCTTATCTTCTCCTTCCCGATCTACAAAAAGAGATTCTCAAGTAATCAACAATCCAAGTCCCCCAAAACAAATACCATATTCCCCTATATACAGGGAATATAAATATCCTAAAGCAAATATACAATCCAAATGACTAGATATGCCCCCGAAAGTAATAAATAACAAATAAACCCTACTCTCTATGCTTATGCCTACTATAATGAAGAACAATCCAACTCCCACAACATGGAATTTGTGTGACAAAGATAAAAGGGAAACTTCTCCAATTCATAAAGTGCTTTTCCTTTTCTTTTTGTTGTTTAGGTCGTGATGTTATTTCTATGCCTTCAAATACATTAGTTGGCTTATTAGAACAAATTTCTGGGTCATGTTTCTGTGATCACATTTTAGCACTTGAAAACTTCAGATTGTCACAAACCAAAACAAGCAGCACATCTTGAAAATCCGACCCACCATTTTAGCTCAATTTGAATTTCTAATTTGGTACATCAACTTGAACGAGAATGTTAGATCTACAAGTCAACTAAGCAGCCCAACTCAAATTTGTCAGCGATAAGAACCAAATAATTTCTTCTATCTATATAATTGAATTTTCATACCTCCTTATTCAAAAATAGAAATGAATTTCCATATCTGCGGTTCTCATGGGATTCGAATACCAGGTCTACGCAACCTATCCAATAACTTTCCAACTCAACTCTTACTTTATGCCTGTAACTCCTGATAGATATCAGTGGTACGATGTATGAGAATATGTCTAGTTAATGGATGTAGTATTTTGGGATTGAATGCAGGTCGTAGAGGCCAAATCACATAATTCTCTGTCTGCTTCTTCCTTTCTACCACCAACATAGGACATGGTTAGGCCAATATGGTTTACGAACCTCAAACAAAGCCCAAAATTAAAATCCTCTTATAAAAATAGTATTCATACATACAGACACCTACATATATAGGGAGTTAACCAACCAAAGGAAAGCTTAGAAATGTATAGTATGAGAAATCCCAGAAATAAAAGGATATGCAACTGCAAAGAAATCCAAAGACACCGATGGACCAAAACACACTAAATAAACACCAAGATCGAGACGTCAGTTACAAAAATACTTCCCCCCCCTCCCAATTTTTTTTTTTTAAAAAAAAAAGAGAAAAGCGGGGAGTAAGAACTAGTAAACACTATTTTCCAAGAAATACCTGCGAATATAAATTTATTTTAACCAGAAAAATATGCATCTAAAACTCACTGTCCTCTCATGTTTGGGTGGGAAAAAAGGGAAATTTTTTTAACAAAAAATTTATTGAAAATATAAAGGATGTAGTACAAATTCAGATTGATGATGGACAAATCGTCCATCCATAATGAAGGTCATCAAGAAGCACTGCACTGCATAAGGACAAAAACATAAAATATTATGATGAATCAGCTACAAGCCGCATTCCAATTCACAAAAATTCAGAAGAGAGGTATCCTTGCAAACTCCTTCGAAACTGATGCCCCAAAAGTCGCAAAAATGCAGATTCGGTTCCATAGCCTTTCAACCACCTCATACTTATCCTCAGAGATTCTCACATTTCTCTCAAACCAAATCACCCAAATAGTGGCAAAAATTGCACATTCCAAAGACAAACTCCTTTGCATTGTCCAATTGCATTAGCTTTATGGAAATTATAATAATAATAAAAAGCCAACAACAATATTTTTCTGTTGGTATTAAGTTTTGAAAATTCAAAGCTAGCTTGAAAAATTCATTTCATGAACAAACTAAACTAGTTAGCAGCATGAATACATCCACACTAACAGATTTCGATTTCGACTACGATTGGCATCAGTTAAATAGTACTGAAAGTGCAATAGGAAACATAGCATATTTCTGGTGCAATACCAATGAAAATTAAAAAAACAAAACATACATATAATTTGGTTTTAGAAAAGAAAAGCACCCAAATATAACCTGGTTTGACCAACAATGACCTTTGCTTATGTCTCTCTGGTTGGCGTTGTTTTATGCATACTCAAAAAAATAAAAATTGCAACCTAACTAATAACAACCAAAAAGCAAAGAATATCCCATATTATATAGGAAAAAACCATCATAATAATTGAGAAAAGCATACAAATTTAGAAAATACAATCACGTAAATGCATATGCAACATAAAAGAAATAGGTGGATCCATTTATATATGAATCTTGGTTCCACCTTTTTCCTGGTTATTCTCTATTCTCTTTGACAGCTTGTCAAAATTCAGGCTAGCCAATAAGTTGGTTACAATTCACAAAATAGTTTTTAATAATATGAAATGATAAATTCAACACTGTCACTTTCTCTCTCTTGTTCTCTCACGCACAAACTCACAAACACATGCTTCACTAGTTTATTGTGGCTGGAGAGAACAGGAGAGAAGGTCCATTAAATATCATACTAAGAAGTCCCTTAATACTAACGCCCCTGAACCTGCATGGCAGCCCAGTAGTACGGAGTTAACTCTCGGGCAACTCGATCAACTTGGATGTATTGGTGCGACTCTAGATAGTGTCTTCTAGGTTTAACCAATGCCTATGGTTTAGGGATAATTTAAGATGTCCATGGTTTACTCGTCCAATATAACCATGTGGTTCCTCTTTACATAAAAAAAAAAAAAAGTTGATACCCATGCGAAACGGTTTCTGTTTTAAGTTAAAAACAATATCCCCTTCTTCATGATGGTGAAAGACTTCCCTTTTTCCCTCAATTAACTCCTGTTATGTAATATATTTAATAGAAAAGCTTAGTTAACGTTCAAATGGTAAACAATTTCACTAGTTTAGTGTTTGGAGAGGACGGAAAAAGGGCAATTAGATACCATAATAAGAAGCCCATTAATACTGATGCCCTTGCATCAGTTTTTCTATATCTTGTTAATTACAATATCTCCATCAAAATGGTGAACAACATCCTTCTTCCATCAATCAAGTCCTCCCATGAAATGTGTGTAACATTGACGCTTAGTCAACTTGTATTCTCAATGCACAGCAGTAAAACATCGTGCAAAGAAATGTACACACCTACACACGCACATACAATGCACACATATACATAAATTTCTCATTCTATGTCCAAGCATATTTTCTCAACTCCACTAAGCTTAATTGTTTCCAATTTGTTATCAATAACACTATTTGGATCTAATTAGATAGAGTCAATGGTACGACGGAGACCGCTGCATACACGCTAATTAGCTTTTGAAGTTGAGCAATCTCAATTTCACTACAGGATTTGCGAATGAATTTTAAGCTATAACTGATTAGGTCAATCAATAAAGTGCAAGTAACATTGTTCATTTGTTATTTGTCCACAAAATAAAAGATAACAACAAAGAAAACAGAAAATTATTTCCTTCTGATTTCTTTTATTTGTACCGAAATCCAATGAAGGGTTAACAAAGAAGTGGGGTTATTCCCACCCCACAAATATCTGTTCTCACCCTCTTTAATTTTTTATTATCAAATTACTAAGTTCACTTCTTTTACACTCACCTCATTAATAACTAAATCTACCTCATGTTATATATATCCTTTTAATAAGTAAGTCACCTTATATCTTTTCACAATTAGGATTTTATTCATTATCCCATCTTGTATATTCATAAAAACACTTTTTCAATATATATATATTTATGTAATAAGATAAAAGTTACTATTACTTTTCGATTTAATTCTATGTTTGATTTCTTGTGTGCTGTGTGAATTTTCATTATTTTTGTTATGTTTTGGTATCACCATCAAGTTTAATAATTTTTTATTATAGTTTATGTGTTTGTGTATACATTTAGATTGTTTTAAAAAATGGCATTAAAGGTCATTTCAATAGAAAACTTGTTTCATTTGAATTTTGACACGCTTGTGTCATTTGTGAATTAGTTTTTGTTATTAGCTTTTGTGAATTAGAAAGCTTGTTTATTTTTTATTTTTTTGACAACAGATTTCTTCCTTTTTCTTTATTTTCCTTTCTAGTTTTCTTTTCGTGCTTATATATAGGATGGGGTGGACTTAATTACTAACGGAAAGAATGGGACAGCACCATCGCAAACAAGAGATAGAGATAAAATTAGCAAATACCAAAACAAATCCAAAAATGCGATAGAATACAATATACAGACAAAATTGAGAGGATGGAGAAACGTACTTGCGAAGGGCAGGGGCCATCTTGTTGGTGAGAGTGCCGGCAACAATCATACAATCGGACTGTCTAGGGCTTGGCCTGAAAATAATCCCAAACCTGTCCAGATCGTACCTGGCCGCGCCGGTGTGCATCATCTCGACGGCACAGCAAGCGAGCCCGAAGGTCATAGGCCAGATGGATCCACGGCGGGCCCAGTTCATCAGATCGTCGACCTTGGAAATCACGTACTCGGCAGCCTTCGGAAGCCCAGTCGGCGACGAAGTAGACGGCGGTGGGGCCTGGGCATAGGAGGTCGGCGAAGACGGTGGTTGAGATAGAGTTGGGAGGGTTGTGTGGATTGTTGCGGCCCGTTGGGACGAGGCCACTAGAGCTATGCGTTGGGCGTTTCGAGCTAGGAGAGCCATTGTGTGCGTGTGTGTGTGTGTGTGAGAGAGAGAGAGAGATTTCTCTGTTCAATTAGTTTCCAGTTTCCGGGAGGAGCTTGATTTTGTGTACAGTTCGCATTGGTACAATTAGAAATGTTTTCAATTGTTTATTAGCGTGAATTGTACCCTAAAATATTTTTATATTCTTTTAAGATAAAATAATAGCGATGTAATCTAAAACTAAATGTTAGTTGTTCTTTTTTATAATTTTTTTTTATATTTTTCATATTATCATATCTTTATATATAATTATTTTTATAATACTCAATGTTAAGTGTTTTCAATGAAATTTTTATACTCATTTTTTTTTTAAAATGAATCATATTGCTACCTTATTAGCTATTGCACTTAAAACTGTGTTAATATTTTTTTTTTTTTGTAAACATAAATTATCCCAACAACGTGTCCTTTAAACTTGCACTTACAATTGTAATGCCATAATCCTAGCAAACATGTGTACAGGAGTTTTACACCTCGTTCCTAAATAGACCACAACCAATCCGTGTAGGTTGACTAGGCTGTTTTGAGCTACGAACACTGATAAAATTATACGAGAAAGAGGAACAAGGTCGGTTTTTACCTTCCTGGTGTAAGAGCAATTCCAACTCGCTTGGTAAAAGTTATATTTTAGCTATTTTGCTAAGTCAATCTAAAAAAATTCTCTCCAACCAGCTCTCTATTTCACTGATTATTTTGCCTTCTCCCATTTTCACTCGTTACTTCTAGCTAGCAAGTCTCGCTCTCTATTTGTTCTTTGCGCCAATTTTGGGGTTGTCCTTCATCAGAGCTCGTCTTTATTGTGGTTTTATCATCATCTACATCAGAGCTTGTCTTCACTCGGTATGGATCTCTCTCTATCTTTTTCTCTCTTTGTGTGTGCTTGATTCAACAGATGCTTTAATGCCCAAATAGAAATTTGAGATGATTTTGATACCTCAAATGATGAAATCAAGAACTCAAAAAGACCACTGGTTTGTCTGTGAACAACCTAATTTCTTGAAATTTTTTGAGATGAGTTTCTTTTAATTGTTCACAATATATTTGATGAATTATCTCAATAAAGGATAAAAAACTAGAACTTGTTTGATTCATAATCAGGGCCACAAGTTTGTTCTATTGTTGCCCCTCCATGATTTGCTCCTTCAGATTTATGCTCTGTAGCTTGAATTGTATTTTTTTTAACTTTGTTATGTTGTTTTAGCTTGCATGTAGAACACAATTATAAGATCATTTTTACATGGTATTTTTGAATTATATTATTAAAAGTCAATTAAAGTTATTTGAAATAGTTAGCTAAAATAGAGATTGCGTGGTTGGAGTGAATTTTAAAAAATAACTAACTAAAGTAAAGTAATTTAATATTTAAATATATTTTAAATAACTATTTTATTGAATGCGGTTGAAGATGCTCTAAGAATCCTGACGCTTGTCCCCTCCTAACTTATGGTGGTTTGAACCCCACCAGTGACAGTACGTAGGTAAGGAAGTTACACTTTTTCTTCCATTTGTATCAATTTTAAATAAGGAAGACAATTGTATTGTATCGGTGTCGGACCGTATTTGTATCATGTTATCCTAATTAATTATAATTCAACTTATTTAATTAATTGTGTCAACCTATTTGTTTTTGTATCATATTTGTGTTCGTATTAACTCATACAACTTGTGAATAAAAAATTTAAAACTCAATTTTATGGCTAAAATTTCATTATCACTTAATTGAACCAATCTTTTTTTTTAACAAGAATTAGGTCATTATTTACTAAAAATATAATTAAAAATTTATGTTTTATTCTTAATTTTTTTATTTTTAAAGGCCCAATGCCTTTCTTTTTGTTTTCCTCATATTACTCATCTATTCATCTTCAGGTGAGCTAATTCTCAATGTTTTGTAACTTCATTTCCAACTCTCCCATTTGGTTGGTAAAATGATGTAACTGCTAGTTTCTCTTCTCTAGGCATGGTTGAAGGCTTCAATGATGGCGTGAACCCCTTTTACTGGAGCCACACACAAGGTAGTTTGTAGTAGTTAGATATGATACGTTCAATAGATTATATGTGTTGCAGATTGTTGATGCCCCTTTGGGTACTCCTTTGGCTATTGTTTTTCTCTTACTATAAGGTAATAATTAACAAAGTTATTGCCAGTCTTATAAGAATAATAGTTCATGTAGAAGACAGAACAGCATCTAGTACAAGGCTAAGATCTATTTAAAGAACTTTGCCACGCACGTCGCTCAGTGACTGGTGGTCAATCTGTAAAGCTGCTCCTTAAAACAGACCTCGTGGTCAATCTGTAAACACCAACACAAATAAGAAAGTTTAGCGGTTTACTAAACGTTACGGGAACTCAAATCAAAACAAACATTACACTCACTTTTCAACTGGATATATTACACTTACACTATAGTCTTTGAAGCTAATTAGTAGGTGTTAGAGTATGTGTGGCTTATATTTGTTGTGTGCATAATGACAAGGAGACAAATGTCGGAGCAGGTGGAGTGGAGCGAAGCGGAGCCCGCGACGGCATCTGCCTTGTGGGATTTATATATAGGGGACGTTGATTAGTTGGGGGTGCGGGGGCAACGCCCCCGCGGTATGGTACAGGAGTATTTTTGTAAATACGTCCATATTAGGGTTATATAAATACTTAAGATGTAACCCTACTTCAATAAGGAAAAGAACGGCCGCTCGCTCTCGTGGATGTAGGCACATTGCCGAACCACGTAAATCTCTGTGTGTTATTTTCTCCTGCTTTTTTAATTGTTTGATTCCTTATTATTCACCATAATTGCTGCACGATCACAACAATTGGTATCAGAGCTAGACTACAATGTCTGGGATTTCCTCTACAAAATTCGACATCATGAAGTTCGACGGAACTGAGAATTTCGGATTATGACAGAAGAGGGTGAAGGACCTGTTAGTGCAGCAGGACATGGTGAAGGCATTATACGGAAAACAACCGGCAAAAATGGACGACATGGATTGGAAAAAATTGGAAGAGAAGGCTGTGGCGACTATTAGACTTTGTCTGGCTGATGAAGTGATGTATCACGTCATGGATGAGGAATCACCGACAGAAGTTTGGTTGAAACTGGAAAGTCGGTATATGTCCAAGTCGTTGACGAACAAGCTCTATCTTAAGCAGAAATTATATGGTCTTAAGATGTCAGAGGGCTCGGATTTGACCCAACACATCAACGTGTTCAATCAGATCATCAGCGATCTGAAGCGAGTTGATGTGAAGTTCGAAGACGAAGACAAGGCGCTGATGTTGCTGAATTTCTTACCGGAGTCTCCTACGTACGAGAATTTGGTTACGACTCTGATGTGGGGGAAAGAAACCCTCGAATTGGAGGATGTCACAGGTGCTCTGTTAGGTTTTCATCAGCGGAAGAAAGCCAGTGATGAGGCTTCACAAGGTGAAGGGCTTATGGTGAAAGGTAACCAGGAACGTGGAAGAAGCAAATCTCAGAATTGATCGGGTAACAATAAAGCCCGGTCCAAGTCGAGGAAGAAGAAGAAGGATGTCTCTGTCTCGTGTTACAAGTGCGGGAAAAAGGGGCACTTTAAACGAGACTGTCCAGAGAAAAAGAAAGGGGATTCAGAGAACAAAGAGAGTGCATCAAAGTCTGCAAACGTAGTGGAAGAAGAAGATTCAGAGAGTGGTGACGGAGATATGCTTTCTATTTTATCTAGTTCAGATCGTTTAACAGATTCTTGGATTATGGATTCAGCATGTTCCTATCACATGACACCCAACAAAGATTGGTTTGACACCTACAGGTCAGTAAATTCTGGTTCTATTCTGATGGGTAATGATGCATCTTGCAAAGTTGTTGGAATAGAAAATATTAGAATTAAGATGTTTGATGGTATGGTTAGAACGTTGTGTGATGTTAGAGATGTACCGGATCTAAAGAAGAATTTGATTTCATTGGACACTTTGGATTGTAATGGTTATAGTTACAAATCTATAAGTGGAGTAATGAAAGTAAGTAAAGGCATGCTGACAGTGATGAAGGGACAGAAAGTAGTAGGAAACATTTACAGACTGCTGGGTACTACAATTGTAGGTGGAGTTGCTGCTGTAGAGTCTGAATCAGATAATACAGTCTTGTGGCATATGCGGCTGGGTCATATGAGTGAGCGTGAGATGATAGAGCTTCATAAGAAAAATCTATTGAACGGTGTCAAGACATGCAAGCTCAATTTTTGCAAATATTGTGTTTTTGGAAAACAGAATAGGGTACAGTTCAAGACAACCACACACAAGACAGAGGGGGTTCTCGACTATGTGCATACAGATGTTTGGGGACCAGTTAGCGTACTATCACGGGGAGGATACATGTATTTCGTGAGTTTCATTGATGATTACTCACGAAAGGTCTAGGTGTACTTCATGCGGCACAAGTCAGAAGCGTTTGCCAAGTTCAAGCTGTGGAAAGCTGAAGTAGAGAACCAGACAGGGAGGAAGATTAAATGCCTCAGGTCAGATAATGGTACTGAGTACACAGATTCAAAGTTCCAGGAGTTGTGTGAGCAGCATGGGATCAAGAGACACTTCACAGTCCGCAAGACACCACAACAAAATGGTGTAGCGGAAAGGATGAACAGAACGATAGCCGAGAAAGCTCGGTGTCTCAGGTTGAATGCAGGGCTTGCAAAGAATTTCTGGGCAGAGGCAGTGAATATGACATGTTTCTTGATTAACAGATCACCGAGGGCAGCACTAGATGGGAAAGTATCAGAGGAGGTGTGGACAGGCAGTGAGATAGACTACTCTGGTTTGAGAGTGTTTGGATGTCCAGCTTATGTACATGTTTCTAGTGAGGAGAGGTCGAAGCTTGATGCGAAGTCTAGACAGTGTATCTTTATGGGATATCAGAAAGGAGTGAAAGGCTTCAAGCTCTGGGATCCGAAGGCAAACAAGATGGTGATCAGTAGAGATGTGATTTTTGATGAAAAAGCCATGT